CCCCCCCCCCCCCCCGCCTTCATTCACATTGTGAGTTCACCATGTTGGCATCCACCTCCACCACATCTATCCACAAAACACATGTTGGCGAGGGGCCGCAGAAGACCTGTGGCGCAGGAGCTGCCTGGACTGGGAGCGCTGCGGCGGGATTAAGTGTGCGGGGCCGGGCTGGTTATCATGTGCATCTAAACAAGGGCCCTGTGTTCAGACGGGCTAGCTGGGAGAGCAGTTGAGCTCCGTCTCTCCGCTCGGCCTTATTATAATGCTCGCCCCGGGGCTCCCTCACCAAGACAAGTTGAGTAGAACCACATGTTGTTGCCTTCAGAGCGGATGTAGCCGCAGCCATGCTGCTCAGATGAATAAAACTGAACAGAAGTGTGAATGTAGTTTTCTCCTAGTTGGCTCAAAAGGTAATTTTCTTCACATGCCACAATTTTCATCAACAAAGTTCTTAAGAAAATGTGTCTTGATTGGTGAATTGGTGTGTGTGTGTGTGTGTGTGTGTGTGAAGGCTGACTTGGTTCAAATCTATACAGATGTTGTTGGCCTGTCTCAAGGTGTGTTTACTTACACTGTAAGAACAGAGGCTCAAGTTTTAAACGATGGGTTTTAGTGGCCGCTTTTTTAAAATTTCAGCCATTTTTTTTCCTTTAAAAGCTATAATTAGTTTTATTTTACCATCACAAATTTAGTCATGTGTATATATCTTTATAAAATTGTAATCAAGCCGTCGGGACTCGCTGGCTGACGATGGGCTAAAGGTGGGGGTTCGGGTTGGTGTGCATCTGGCAGACTCTCCGTACAGGGCTGTGGGATATTGAGGCACGGTCAGCAATCCATGCTCCTCATCCTCCTAGTTGAGCCGTTCCTGCCTGTTTTTCATGCTGTGGCTGATGAGTGTAAACCCTGAGAGAGAAAATACACTCATTGTTAAAAAGGAAAACAGTATGGGCAGAGAAGCTTATTTAGACTATATGGTTTGTATAAAAACTTACTAAGAATTAAACCTTTAAACTAGATGAACTCTGAACAAAGGAATTTTAAATCTGACCAAACCTTCATTCGAAGCAACTCGGATCTCTTTAAAATGTTATTCGACGTTCGTAAGGATTCTGCATGAGCCACCTTGTAACGTCTTCCATGTCTGCTTTTGTTCCAACAGTCTGCCGTGATGTCGGCGGCCTTTGCGAAATTCCACCCAAATGTCGTGGTGGGGGGGACGTACTCGGGGCAGATCGTCCTGTGGGACAACAGGAGCAACAAGAGGACGCCGGTGCAGAGGACGCCGCTGTCAGCCGCCGCTCACACGGTGCGGCGCACGCCTCCCTCAGCCCGCCCCCAGCTCATCTATATTCACTTCACCTTCACTGTCTTTGCAGCACCCGGTGTATTGTGTGAATGTGGTCGGCACCCAGAACGCCCACAACCTGATTAGCATCTCCACTGATGGCAAGATATGCTCCTGGAGTCTGGACATGCTCTCTCAGCCACAGGTGACACGTCCTCAAAGACAAAAGCAGCTCTGCAACTGACTTATTACATTAGAGAAAAAGTTAGTTCGAAAAAAATATATATATTTATTTTCGTGTTTGACATGCTTCCTGTTCCTCGCATTTACCCTGAAGGTCATTTATTTGGGTCTCCTTCATTTTTTAGTGGATCAGTGTTTGGCATTTCTCTCCTGCGAGTTTGTTTCTGCAGCTCGTTTTTCAGTTTGAAGGACGTTATTTTAGCCAGATGTGTCACTCCGTCTGCGCTGCCAAGCCTCCGTGTTTTCGCAGAGCGCCGCCCGGGCCCAGATTACGCATTCATGAGCTGCCCAGGGACTTTTATAGGTTGTGCTTGGCAGGCCTGAACCGGGAGCTTGTTACGGATGTTGTTCCACGTCCCCTCCTCCCGCAGGACAGCATGGAGCTGGTGTTCAAGCAGTCCAAAGCCGTGGCCGTCACCTCCATGTCCTTCCCCCTAGGAGACGTCAACAACTTCGTGGTGGGCAGCGAAGACGGCTCCGTCTACATGTCCTGTCGGCACGGAAGGTGCGTGTGTTAGCGGCCGCGGCCCTCACCGTCCCTCACCGTCCCCCGCCGTCCCTCACCGTCCCTCACCGTCCCTCACCGTCCCCCACCGTCCCTCACCGTCCCTCACCGTCCCTCACCGTCCCTCACCGTCCCTCACCGTCCCTCACCGTCCCTGACCGCTGCCAGCAGGAAGCCCAGGCGACTGGTTAGGCCCACCTCGGACAGAGTGTCAAATAAATAAAGCCCACTCACTTCCCAGCGCAGCTCGCATCCAGCACTTGATCTCCTGCTGTTTGAGGTTTCACTCCTGCCCAGTCATCCTGTTTTTCTTTTCCGCTTGTCAGTTGTGTTTGTAAAGGTCGTTCAACATAAACAGGGCACACATGCAGGGGAAACAAATCATTTTTTCCCCGTTCTTTCTTTTCTGCTCCCCGAGTTTCTCTGGGTGAGACAGTTTGTTTACAGTTCGGTTGTCCCGGGGAAACTTAAAGCTGCAGTTCGTCCCAAAATGTTCTCATTTGAGGAGCCGGGGCTTTTTTTTTCTTTTTTTTCTCATGGTTGAAGGGGAAACGTGGCTTAAATCAGAGCTGCCACCGAGTAGTGCCTCAGCCGGGGCTAAATGTCCTGTAGTATACCCAGAGACCACAGAGAGGGGATAGCTGCCATGTTTTCCACAACAGAATCACCTTCATAATTGGGCGAATAATTTTCCACCTCATTTACAATGGTATGATACTCTCATTGCAGTTAATAATGCATAAGCATCACTCATGCTGAGTATTTACCCCTCTACATTAATTATCAGTCTCAGTTGGATAACAGCTCTGCAACATGTGGTTGAAAGGACACGGGCACTTTTGCCACCCTGCCGGTAATTACATGATATAAGTAAATGATTACTGTGAATACATCCAGCAGAGGTCCACACGGGCTCCTCACTTTCCCTCGTGCTTAAAGTGCTACCTAAATTGTCTCAGAGGGCCCTGCCTTCGATCTGTGCCGTTCTTAGCCGACTCTCTTTAGCTCGAGACGTTCAAACGCTGCAGCCGAGGCTCAGCGCTTCCCGTCCGCTGCTTCCATAAATCGAATTTGCCGAGCTCAACCGGATGTCGTTTTCACACATTCATGTGCTCATGCGTTTGCTCCGCAGCAAGGCGGGCATCAGCGAGATGTTCGAGGGCCACCACGGCCCCATCACAGGGATCCACTGCCACACAGCTCCAGGCCCGCTGGACTTCTCCCACCTGTTCGTCACCTCGTCCTTTGACTGGACAGTCAAGCTGTGGAGCACCAAGGTACGCCTCTTTAACGGTCAGGGAGAACATCTGGACTCATTTACTGGGTTGAATTGGTTGCTAGTTACTACAAAGGAAGAGAGTTTCCAAACGTTTCCTACCGCTTTGTAACTCGAGAGAAACTTTTGAAAACGTCATCAATTACGAATAATATATCTGTTTGTGAGCACTGTTATGTTAAAGAGGGTTATAATTGGATTTTCTATTATTTAGCTAATACTATACAAGTCCACACCAACAATGAACTTTGTTGTAATCCCCATGTAAGAGAGTAAGAAGGATTAACTAAATATAAACACAAGTTGTTAAACAATTCCTGTCTCTGAATCTGAAATCAGGAGGGGCTTAACGTGAGAGCGCGGCCTCCTGCCCTGTGGAGGCTCCTCGCTCGGAGCGTCTGTGCGTGCCTCTAACAGATGTTTTCCCGTGTCCTCCCCTCCGCAGAACAACAAACCGCTGTACTCGTTTGAGGATAACTCTGACTACGTGTACGACGTCATGTGGTCTCCCACGCACCCTGCCCTGTTTGCCTGTGTGGACGGAGTGGGCCACCTGGACCTGTGGAACCTGAACAATGACACAGAGGTGGGACATCACCGCCGAGCCCCCCGCTTCCCAACCCGCTTCCCGGTCCCATTCTTATTCCCCGCCACTGCCGTTTCAGGTGCCGACCGCCAGCGTCACAGTGGAGGGCAACCCGGCCCTGAACCGGGTCAGATGGGCTCACACTGGCAGAGAAATCGCGGTGGGAGACTCTGATGGACGAGTTCTCGTGTATGAAATTGGAGAAGTGAGTAAAATTGTGACAACCAATCACGGGGATGTAATTGCGCTTAAGGGGATATATTTGAGCGACGACTCAAAACACTTTGTTGTTTATCCGTCATGAATACAAACGGGTGTCATCGGTCGAGCTCTGATTGCAACCTGAGCCGTGTCGTCATTGTGCCCCTCCCTCACAGCAAATTTCGGTCCCGCGGAACGATGAGTGGACCCGCTTTGTTCGCACACTGGCAGAGATCAACGAGAACAGGGATGACGCGGAGGAGCTGGCGGCCCAGCGGCTCGCGGCGTGAGCTCATCGCCCCTGGACGCAGCGTTGGAGGGACCAGTTGTGCGCTTAGTAACGTCAGGCCTGTTTTTGATAGAAGGAAAAGATGTGATGGCAACGTGACTGGAGGGAAATAAATTGTTGTTTTTTTTTTGGTTACTTTTTGGATGATAACGAAGTACGGACATGTCTTGATTTCGGACACTTCTTATTTAGACAGTTGGACCGTCACCAGTCTTCCTCAGATAAACACAAATGTCAGGGCTATCAACCTCAGACACTAACATTAAGCCATAATCACAAAAACGGTCGTCCTTTCTTCAGCCAGATGCCTTAAAAGTTTAGTTTTAATGTTGATTGTCAAATCATTACCCATCATTATTTACATTATGTTGACAGGAGCCTTAATTTGGAGGTTTTCAGGCTAAACAGGTGCTGCACTCCACGAATGAGTGAAAATTAGTCTTACTGTGGCTTTTCTCCATTTCAAGTAAAGTTTTAGCGGGGCAATCACATCTATAAACACAGAAATGTAACCATCTCATAGCTGTATCATAAGTCATCATCTCTGCTCCCTTAGACTCGATCACATGTTCACTTGTTTGTAACATAGTGAAATGTTCAGTCTTTTTACTCTCATGTTGTTTTATACTACTTGAGTTTCCACTTAATCCGTGCAGCTGGAGTTTGACTATCTATAATGCCTAAGAAAAGGATCATGGAAGCTGTAACTGCTCAGTGATTTCCACATGTGTAATGTATATACATCCATATACTGATGAGATATGGATAGAGATTATTTCCTCAAAGCCTGGTGTCAAAAGTGAGAATGTACTGTTCCCAGTAGAAACACACTTGTTGAATGATTTATTTCAATAAAATACAATAAATACATTTAAATTATTTCCTAAGTTCCCGCTCATGATTTCAAAATAAATACTTTGAAAATATCTGTACATCCTTGTGCCTCTTACATGTTAGCGACACATGCACACCAAAGCTATCGCACACCAGAGAATGCTGCCACCACCCTTAATAAAGCCATAATGTGCCTCTGTGGAGAAGTACAATATGTACAGTAAGATTGTGCAAGCTATGCGAAGAAAAAGATCCAGAAAAAGTGAGCCATTCTCATGCATATAAAGTAAGACAACTGCTCAGGAGATGGACTGGAGAAACATGCAGCCCTCAGTCATGAATAGTAACTCTTTAAGAGGCCTGAGTTTCAGTTTGGACTAATTTGATTGTCGCCTCTCCAGAAGGCTTGAACTTTGGAAGGTGCAAACCAAACTTCCTCTCCACGCCAGCAAAGGTTGTGGCAGCCAGACGGTATCCACCCACGTGGTCTGCGGTCATGGAGGGATGCTCCTCCATCTTGGCTTTGGGGATGGGCTCGGAGCCAGTAGGACGGCTGCAGAGAAAAAGGTTGGAGTCAGAACGGTGAGAGGCTCGTTCTTTGCAGAGATATTTTCAAACTACTTACTGTCCTCCAAAGTCAACATATAACCATCTCTGTAACAGCTCGTAGGTCACCAGGGTTACGCCGAACTGGGGCGATGATCTGAAGACACGAGCTGATGGGAGGCGGGAGTAGCGCAGGGGTCAGCTTGAAACCGGTTAACGCTTCCTTTGAAAGCTCGTCTTTGACAGTGAAAGTGTTTGCATGTGTGTGTGTTACCTCCTGCTCCCTTCCACAACGCCCTGAAACCCTCCTCTGCCATGATCTTCTTGAAACAGTCGATAACTCCGTTGTACGTGGTCTGGCCTGCTCGGGCTGCCACCTGAAGCCTGGTCTTGATGACATCGGCAGGGGTCACCAGCGAAGCCGCCGGTACGCCTTTTATGCCACAGAATAATAAAGCACTTTTATTATGCACAGACAGTGTCCCACTCGGATATCCCTGTCAAGACGTCACGCTGGGCTTGAAATGGCTACACCTCCGCGGTGTGATATGACATGTGCTCTGTGTATAAAGTCAGGTTATTGATGCAGAAACAACAGGGGGGAAAGAAAAGTGCTGCTTTTTGTTGTTTTTGTTTTTTTTCGAACAAGCAACACAACACATCCTTTAATAAAGACTGGAAAAAATATATATACGGTGCTGCTTGGATGTCGTGCTTGTGTGAGGTCTCCAGATGTGTCGTACCTGCTATGGCTCCAGCGGTGAGCAGCTGCAGAGCCCCCAGCCTTCCGTCCTCATCGGCCAGCTTCTCCTTGGTGTGGGCATAAACAGGGAAGTAGATGGCGGAGAAGGGGATGTCACGCAGGAAGCAGGCTTTGGCCCCCTTAAAGCAAAGAAAGGAGAAAAATCAGTTTGCTAAAAACCTGTGTATGCTCACAGGTCTGATAGATGGGCACAGACAGAGATAGGGAAGGCTTGTCTGGAGGGATTAAGTGTCGGAAGCGCTGATTTATTCATCTCACAGAGGATTTGAGTATTGATGATTGTGGCTGAAGAGCCCCCGGCTGTCTCCAGAGACAGATCCATCACAGACAAACAGCACCAACATCGTCCTTAATGTGCTGGCTGCTTTTATAAAGAGGATGTCAGCTTTTTCTGCTTTTTTTTTTCTCTTTAAAACAAGCCACACACAGTCTGCCATTCATTAAAATATAGAGCTCGGACATATGACTTCGATCTTCAAGCGGTGCCGTACGAATCTGGAGAGCAGCAGTAGCAGAGTAAACCCCCGCCCCCTCACTAGGCTGTTGTTGGTTTCTGGCCACAGTTCTGTCTCCGTGTTCAGCATTGTTTTGGTAAAAAGAAAAAGAAAAAATGGCCACCAGTCAACAACGATATGTTGGCAGTTCGAATCTGATCTGCGTTACGTCCCCAGAACTTCATCTGCTGCTCACCACACAGAAACAAAGCAGCGTTTGATTTGGCTGAATACGTATTTGAACTTTTACTTCACCGTCTTTATCCAAACATTTTGTCAGACTTTTTTTTTGGTTTTGTTTTTTGCATTAGTGGCCTTCTGTAAAAATGTGCTTAAAGGAAGTTGGCAGAGAAAAAGAGGAGGATGATGAGCTAAAAAGAGCCAACGCATGAACCTGAATCCAGCTGCTTGGAGGGGCTTCAGCCTCTGTGTGTGCACCACAATCCAGCATAAAGTTTTTAGTCGTACACATAATGACGCTAATTATCTGCTAACCATCTCTTGTCTTAACCAGTTACTTAACAGTTAATTACTGATGAGTAAACCAATAAAACTAAAACTACTCCACTATTCAATGGATTTCTAAAGTAAATTCTCAAACAATAAATGTCACATAAGATTTGAAATGATTTCTTGTGATTCCTGACAATAATGAAATGAACTACACAAAAGCAAGAGCAGATGAATTGTACAGTGTTTGAGGTCCATCTGGGGGCCTTCAGCTGTCCTTGCTTGACAGTGAGCAGAGGCTGACCCCATGGTGCTGCAGAGGTGCTGACCCACCTTGTAGAGGCCGAGGAGGCCCAGGTCTCTCACAACACTCAGGGCACTGACCCTGGGGCCTGTGGTGATCTCTCCGGCCACCTGCAGTCGGATCTTAACAATCTCAAGAGGATTGGTGAAGATCACCTGGGACGCTCCAGCCTGCAGGATATTAAAAAAAGAAAAAAACAGTCAAAAAAAAAAAACAGAAGATAATTTTCTGTGGGAATTTTCTGAGGTGAGTTTAGTCAACCTAGAGGTGAACTTTGGCTGATGATGTGTAAGCACTTCTCCCTCATGGGAATCTTTAAATCATCAGAGTAAACTTCAACACAAAAGACACTTTATTTTCTCATTTGATAGAGTCAGCCCGGCCTTGACGGGAGGAGGAAAAAGCAGGCATTGATGGAAGGACGACCGGGGTCAGACCGGAGCAGGAGCTCATGGTTGGGAGGCTCTGACCCTGGCATCGGCCTTCTGCCCCTGTTGGCTCCCCTGAGGCACCTCCTGTAGCAGGGGGGGGGGGCAGGGGGAGCCGCCCTGCCTGGCCTCACCCAGCACACTTGCCCAGCCCCCCCCCCCCCACACCCCCACCGTTCCCAGGGGAGAGCGCTGAATCACCAGGACGGCTCCGGGTCCAGGAAAGCAACGCCCCGAAGGCACTGCACCCTCTGACTCGGGCACATTTATCACCCTCCCCAAATCAAATCAGGCCCCAGGATGGCTGCCTCTGACATTCAGGGCAGGGGTCTTATCTGTAAACATCCGAGCAAAGGTCTAAAAAAAGATCTGGCACATTTAGTCATTTTCAGAGTGGTGGGGGGAATATCCGCTGCTCTGAAGATTGATGCGCTCGCTCCTCTCTTTCATCTTCCTCAGTTCTCTCCTCTGCTGGAAGCGATAATTCAACAAGTTATCAGATTAACCTGAATTTAAACTTTTCAGGAACAGCGTGAGGGGGGGTTGGGACAAATGACACGAGTCCCCCAGAACCGCTTCACCAAAGCTGTGGTAGGAAAGCGTTGCTAGCGCTGGACAACGGTAAGAGGAAACATCCGTGCTGTCCCGAGTGGGGACCTGCGCGCTGACCACGCCCCTGGTTTCTGCCCCGTTGTCAAACTCAATCATACCAAGCCGGACCCTTCTTCATCCAGGACCCTCCAGGGCCTCTTCCTCCAATTACACCCTGACAGGGGTCACAACCCCGCAGACCCAGCTCCTCTGGGTCCAACCTGCAGCCTCTGCACAGCCCGCCTCTTTCATTCCTGCACATCCAGCGCCGAGATGAGGAAAATGGAAAAAAAAAATCACGGCTGACTCAGATCAGAAGATTTGGCATGTAAAGTTCACCCTAATATCTTGGGCAATCCTCAGTGAGCTAGCATGAGAAGCTAATAATGAATTATGAAAACCTCCACGCAGTTAATAGGAGTCACTGCTGAGTCATCATAAATGAGGAATTCAAGTTTAGAAAATCACTAATGACTGGAGTCCGATGAAAGCAAAATTCTTAGTCAGTCCTTGTTTGATGAATTAATACAAAAATATGAACAATTCTTTTTAATTACAAATGTAAATTAAATACCAATGATCCAATTTTTCCAACCATAGTTTGAAACACAGTTTTCCGGCTCGTGCGTTTCAGATGAAAATCAGCTTAATAAATGCCAAAAACTTCTAATGTCTTTTGGATGTATATTCAATCGGGAATGTGGAGGTACATCTAACACTATACAAACGAGCCATATTCTGCATCACCAGCACTTGCTTTGCTCTTTACACACACCGCACAGTGAACACTGACTTATACTGACAACACTATTTGAACCAACCATCCGGAATTTTTAACCACGTTTTCTGAAATTCTGCCACGAGACCATGGCTTGTTGCATCACCCACCTAAACATCTCTGCAAAAAAAAGCTAATTGACACAAGGAACCTCTCTCAGCAGGACAGAGCACCCTGCAGCATTACCAAACCAAAACAACAGAGTCTGACGTCTTCAAAACTGGACACATACCAAATTTGTTGAACATCTGGAGGGCGCACCAGATCAAGGTTCATCCATTCTGTCTATCATAGCTAATTAGTAAAAGCATTTCAATACATTTGTTTGCCATTGTTTTCATCATGGTTTGGCAGATCCAGATATGTATCATTTTTTATTTATTTTCTTTGGGTTGCCCTAATTAAAAAAAAATCCAAATGCAATGTAAAAAATATGCTTTGTGATTGTGCATTTGTCTGCAGACTGCATTTAAAAGTTCATCAAAGTGATGCTTACACATCCACCAGCGAGGATCTCTGCAGGAAGAGGCACCGTATCTTCTTCTGTGGTGAATTTATCTCTGACAAAATCATTCATCTGCAAAAAAGGAAGACGGCATCAAGGAAAAAGGCAAATGAGACAAACCTGGAAGCAAAACATTAATGTTGACGTGGTGGCTCCAGTCACATTTTTGATTGCAAAGGTGGTTCCTCCATCACTATCATGCTTTTCTATTTGTTGTTCACACGTGAAGCTCTCCGAACAACTTTCTGAGGACTAAGAGTGGAATGAATGACTTGCCGTGAGTTTGATAGCTTTCTCAGGGGCGACGCCGATGAGCTGCGGGAGCAGACCTGCAAAATATTATTCATAGATCCCATTAGACTACCTGACAGACAGAGATAAAATCCGTGTGGAAATGAATGCACATTTTTTCATCTTCCCTGAATGAATCTACTGACAGCTAGAACAATATAAGCTGCAGGGATCCTGTGTGCGTAAAACAAACCCATAAATATTTACAGACGGTGGCTGATATATCTGATGCACCCGGACACAAAGGTCCCATTGAGAATGAATAAAAGTCTAAAAAATATGACACTCCGGCTGCATATGGGATCAGCATTGTTGAGACTTTATCCCGCTGTCAGCGGGGAACAGAGAGAGCTGTGTGGTCACGGATGCGAACGAGAGCGGGAGGGGAGGGGGATGGGGGGGGGGCTGGGGTGCTACAGTGGCGATAACTGCCATACTGTTTCACCGTCTGTCCTTCATCAAACCAGATAAACTTCTGAAGGAGCTGCTGAGTGACTGCTGCTGGTATGCAGCCAGAAAACAGCCGAGCGTGTCTGTCTCTGAGTCAATCACCCTCTTATCATGTGCAAGAGAGGAGGAACGAGGGGAGGCCGGGGAAAGCGGACCGGAGCAGCAGAAAGCTGCAGCGGTGGAGGCAGCAGTAGATGGCAGTCTTGACTTCCTTCACATGAAGAGCCCGAGGGGTAGAAGTGTTGTATATCACAAGCCTTCAGCACCATTATCAGCACTCAGGCGGAGGCCGATCAGACAGTGCTGCTACATGAATACTGCTGGTCATCTCCTCGGGGAACTCCAGATAATGAAAACGTGACCCCTGGGTGTTGTTTTATTCACTGCTGAACAGGGAGGGCAAAGGTTTCTGGTATCAATTAGCAAACTGTGCTCAAGATATCAGCACGCCAGCGACTCCTCATACTTTCCCATCAGACGGGTATTTTTCCGTGCCACGCAGATTTCCCCGCACATTCCCTTTTAACGTGCTTTTAAGTGCTGTAAAAGCTGTGGAGGATTACCTCTGTAGAATCCAAAGACGCCCTCGTAGCGGAGCACCTTCTTAGCACAATCAAAGCTGTTCTTGTACATCAGCTCTCCCACGAAGGAGCCCGTGGAGCGCTGGTTCTGCATGCGGGTCTTCACCAGGTCGATGGGGTACACAGCCGTGGCACCGGTGGCTGCAGAATAAACAGATCTGTCAGTTAGGCAATTCTGCAAGAATTATGTAAGACAAACTCATAAACATGTTGATTCTTCTGAGATTTACTCCAAACTGTAAGAATCTGGGCTCCGTCTGTATGCTCCCGGTTTAGCCCGATCCCTAAGTGCTATAATTCAATATAACGCATCTGACAGACATATGAAAAAAAGTCATTTCACACATGGAACAGAGAGTTTTTTCTTTCTTTTTTGCAAACTTGATTTGAACAATCAACAGGTGTTAAAACTGATCCTTTTCGTATAAAACTATTAAAGATCTGCCTGCCATTTAATATATTTTTAAGACAGCGTGTTGAGCTTGTGGATGACTTGCGGAATAAAAGCCACCCTAATCCATTTATAAGAGACTGAAATCTGGATCAATATTTTTGGAGTAGCAATGCTGTAAGGAGCATGGGGACTGCTGCAGAGCCAAGTTGCTCTAAATCTCTGCCGTACGGCGTCTCGTCTGACATCAAATGTTCCTGTAACGACTCTTCTTCAACATGCAAACAGAACAAAGGGTGAGAAACAACTTATTATCGGAGAGAAAAACATGGCAGTTTGGCCGCATGTCTGCCGATACGCATCTCTCTCTGACTCTGTCTGAATTGGAGCCTGTTGAGTGACAACTGAAAAGTCTGCATGTATGGGGACTGCACACACACACACACACACGCACACACACACACACATGCACACACACGCGCACACACCAACTCAAGAGTCAGAGTGTGTTCCTATCTGTGGGGCAGTTATGTCAGAGAATCCTTATATCTATTCCCTCCAGTGTAATTAGAGAGGGAGATTCCAGGGAGTGCGGTTCCGGAAGATTTGTGTCATTCCAAAGCTCCGTCTCCAACGACAGCCTGGAGCCACTGGTGGCACGGCAGCACAATGCCGGAGCCTCACATCACAGCCCCTCTCCCTGCAGCACAATGGCCTGCTCCGGGGTCTCAGCGCGCCAGCCGGCAGGCTAAAGTTACCCCTCAGGCGGGCCAGGGGCTCTGCCACAGACATGTCACTCACCTCCAGCGATTGAGCCCAGAGAGAACCTGTAGGCAGACTCTGCAGCCTGGAGCCAGACGGGCCGAGACGCTTCGTGAGGGTGCTGTGTGGGAGAAAGGGACACCAGCAGTCAAATGAATCTGGAGAAAGACGGGAGGGATCAGAACACTGGCCGTGTATCGGCTGGCCATTAAACTATAGTGAACCAGATACATTGTGGAAAGGAAAATGTTATGGAGAACTCAACGATGGGAGGAAGGCAGTGGAATGCCAACGTGTCTTATAATGTCCGATTCATCGGCAGCCTGTATCGAATGTCACAGAAAGAATAGCACAGCATACAGTAAACGCCTGCGTGAACCGGTAGCCGAAGTCTCTGCACATGCCACGTGGAGGGAGGCTGCACGCTAAAGGTCTTATTTTATTTTAACTGCAAAGTATGACTTCTCTGTTATCGCACTTGATTTTTGGGTTGGACCTTTATGTTGAAAGCAGACCCCCTTTGTTTTGGCTGTGCTGCGGTGGGACAGATTAGCCAAACAACCCCTTTTCCATGTACAGATAAGAATCTACATGAATATTACACAGTCAAAGTGCATGTGCGTGCAGGTTAGAGGGTGTAAGCAACTTCTACCAGACTAGATGAGAGGGGAGTAAAGCAGATCCCCCTTTTCCTCTTCCCAGATGCTTCCACTGAGGGCTGCATGCTAACAAGATCGAGGTCTTGATCAAAGGGTTTAAACAATTAGCCTACTTCCACTAAAGGGCATGCCTGAAAAGTGCAGCATCCCCCCCCCAAAGGAATCAAATTCCAGACCTCAGAGCACAAGTCCCTGGAGGATGAGTGGACCTAAGGCTCTGACCACAGACTGATATAAAGCCATGCTATCCGGTGGAGCCAGGAACTATTTTGTTCTCCCACATCCACCTTGACTCCCACTCTCCCCCTGCCATTAGCAGACTTTGCTACAGGCTGCTAAAACTTCTCAAGCCCCACAGTGATAAAAGCCTCTTATTAGCGCCTCAGATGTGTGATTGCAGCTGATGCGTATGTGCAGCCATACTGAATAAAGCAGAGAGAGCCTTTCATGGAGAGCCACGACGTAACAATCCATTCCTCTTCTATGACTATAATTGGTGTACTTTTATCTGGGAGTTTAAGAAATGCACTTCACAAGGGAAGAAAAACATGGGCTCTCCACTAATCCAGTGACGGAGCATTCTCCTTTTTCTTTTTTCTTTCTTTTGCTCCTTTCTGAGAGGGAAGCAGGAGAGAGAAGAGGAAAGGGCTTTGATGAAAGGCAGGAGGAGGATGTGAGGTGTAATCGAGGAGTCACTCAGGCTACCTGTCTCTGGGTCTCGGCTAGGTGGTACGGCATGGCTCCTTCCTCCAGCGGGGCGACCCTATCGATGTCTGTGTGATTCAGCCGCCTTAACAGACGGCACCGGGGGAGGGAGACAGGGAGTTAGTCCAGGAAAAAACCTCCAGCCCTGGATCTACTTTGAGCAGAGGCCAGCGGTGTAAGTTTTTCCACAGCCCTTTTACTGCCATATAACTCCAAGTTACTGCAACTTTAATTTAAGCCTATATAAACAACAGACAAACAAAGCTGGATGCGTGCCCGTGGCCCAACAAGTAAATGAAAGTGTTTTGTTACTAAAAGCTCGAGACACAAATGTTCCCTGCTGGCGTGACGCATCATAAAGTCTGTATCCATGTTTTATGTTCATCTTGTAAATCAGCCAGTGGAGCCACTGTTACTGAACTGAAAGGGCAATAACTTTATCTTTACAGCCAATAAACAAACCTGTAACATATTTATTCAATTGAATGCAGCAATAGAAAAAAAGAACAGTTTTTGGGAAGTTTTCTCAAATCACCTTAAGGTATATCAGCAGCACCTCATAAAGAAAATGTAGGAAAAAAAGGGAAACGATCACCATTTATTTCCACAGTCATTGCTGTTGTTGACTTTGCATGAATGGGGTTTTGTTCTGTTCTTTAAGCAAAATGCATGAAAACAGTTTCTAGCAAAAATGCAGTTTAAAAGAAAAACAATAATCTACCATGAAGTAATTTTTTATTTCTAATCCTATTTCAGATATTGATCCCCGTTGGTGGCTAAAAGGTGTTTTTTTATTACTACCATGTGAGGCATTCACCAAACATTGGTGATTTTTATCATTTTCCAATTTTCCAATGATGTGCCCATGTGGCCTTCGAGGTCATATCTAATATAAACTGGGTTGTGCTTTTCCAAAAGGGAGTCAGCTTTTTAAAAAAAATATATACATACATAAATCATGCTGATGTATAATATTAACATTTCCTCTGCACTAATTTCAAAGACTCCTACTGCCGAACAACAGGATCTTACCCAGAGTGTGAGTGGAGACCAACGAGTTGGAACAGGATGTCTATCTCCATCGGAGTGATCTGACCAAATTTATTTGCAGCATGAACAAACTCCTCTACGATTCAACAGAAGGGACAGTTCGGTCAGACAGTTATAGAAAGGCTCAAAAAGACAGAAAAGAAGCTGAAGGGTTTAAAAACATCTGGTACGGTCTACAGAAGGCTTGCATTACGTAGTATTTGCAAATATTGTTTTTTTTTGTGGATATTTCCCACCAAATTTTTCAAACAAAATATTCTCAGAGACTGAAAAACAACTAAAGGATGAATGTTGGTCTGTATGTGCTTTAGCGCTTTCTCCCATAGTAACCGCTACCTGAACATGCACCCTGACGGCAGCCCTCGGCACCACTCTTTCATACGGGTTTCATATTTAGCTCCTAACTGCTGCCTTCGAAGTAGTTCCACAGCCATCGGGTGGTCTTTCGGAACAGAAACCTAATGGTGGCTTTTGAAAGAGGGGAAAGGCGTAGCTATTCCCTTTGCTTACAAAGACCTTTCTGTCAGACTCAGGGTCTCTCATCTAGACGACAGCACTGAAATGTTGACAGCTGGCATGTGAATGTTTGCTTTAAAGTTAATTCAATTTGGTGAGAAATAACAGTAATTGTTTGCAAATACTACTTGTCCAAGTCTATACTACAAGGGAGGAAAACTATGGAAAGAGATGTTTGCATCTCAAATGGGAAACACAACTGGGAGCAGATGTGACTAACAATGGTTTTTGTTTTGTTTTGGGGGGGTCGGGTGGGTTGGAGGGGGGGGTTGGATTTGGATTTGCCGGGTTTACAATGTACATTTACCTTGATAAATTAGTGCTACAGTAAATGTTCCCTGTGTGTTCACTCACACCATTCTGTCAAAAAAAGTTAAAGTATAATCGAACAGCTCCATTTCACGTAATCTGTCAGATGAATTCACAGTGGTTCCAGCCCATGCTAAGCAGTACCTTTGGTGACGAGAGTGTCTTTGTGCGTGCCAGCTAGCGTGCTGTAAATCTTGCGGATCAGCTCCATATTGTTGAGGAGAGCATTGAAGGCATTGAAGTAGGAGAAGCTCACCATGTGGGAGGTGCTGCCTCCGGCAGCCTAACAGAAAGAGCCAGAAAGCAGTCGTTCAGTTCAACGTTGGAGGACCACAGACGGGTCAGAACGAGTTCTGAAACACTGCTAATTCACAAAGGTTTCATCAAATACCCAAGCAAAATGTGTTTCTGTTTGAAAATTAAACAACCGCAGTGGGAATTTTTCAAAAACTCACCGAAACCAGGTTCTCCTCAACAAAAGGAGTCAGCATGTGGTGCCTGATGGTGGCCATGATGTCACTGAAGTCCAAGGCGGTGATGGAGCCACTTTTGTTCTTGTCTTTTTGTGCAAAGGCCTGGCGGGCGTGTTCCAATTGCAGCTCCTGCAGCAGCGCACAGAAAAAAGGTCAAGTTGTTACCCGACAGGAAAAAAAGACTGTGCTCCTGTGATGAGGAGCATCGCATTACAAGTCAGGGGAGAAAGGAAGTATACCGATACGAGGGCCGCACAGATGTGAAAGCCATCAGATATGACAGCGTCAGACACAGGCTTTTGTAATCACCACTGTCTTTCTGGAGACTAATGGAAACCATGTCCTGAGAGGTCTGATCCCTGTGCTGAGACGGCCGGCAGGTGTCTGTACGCAACGGGATGATTCAATATGGCAACCGTGCAATCAGGAGGGGATGTGGGGGAAGCTGACCCCGGGTCAGTGTCTGCCGTCTGAGCGCACAACCCGGGGATTGTGGCGCAGCGTCACTGTTATGCTGAGCTGTTTCCTCCTCCTCACACTGGCTCTGATAACCTAAATCAGTGGAGGATTAAGCTGATTGTACTGTCGAAAACTGATCATATATTCTCACAACCTGACAGTTGCATTACGCTTTTTTAGATTTACAGACACTTTGCTTTGTCTGGAATGGCTCAAGTTTTAGCTAAACACTACCAGCACAAAGCTGGACAAAAAAATCTAACAGAAATGTTTTACATTTAGTTTGTACACAGAGGCTAAATTAATGACAGAAGCATAAAACATTAATAAGTAGAGTTGTAAAGGGGAATCCTGCACACACCAGATTTTGGTGAGGCGGTGGGAACCTCTGCTCAAATATTAAAAACCGCAAAGTGCTTTGAGGGATCCCACACTAAGGGGCAGAGGGGGGTGCAGCTTGCATAAACTCCCAGACCACCCAGATCCTTCCTGAGACCACAGCACTCGTCTCCAAACCAGGTTGTTCCACCACATGGCCGCCGAAGTCTCAGCGAGAGACATGCAGTGTCCGATAGAGCAAAACAACATCTTTAGGAGCACCCCAGGCCTCAGCAAACTGCCAATAAAGCGAACAAGCTACACTAAAAGGCAACTCCATTCTCCTTTCCCTGTCAGACATGAGGTTCGCTTTATGTCGTTTTCATTAGTCCCTCATCTGATTAAAATACCTCGCCAGAGAAGGAAAACGGTTGGAATTCAGATCATGTGCTTTGTGAAAATTTCGAACTACATTCTTTGAACCGACAATATTTAAGATTAGATAAATGGATATATTTTAGAAGAAAATGTGTGTTCTCCACTACATCTTAGACTGATATGGCATAATAATAGTTTCCAAATACTATATAGTTAATATATAGTTATGTAATGATATTAAATAGTATAATAGCTTGTCATTTTTATATGTATCAATAGTGGTCCAGCTTGAAGTTTGGCAAGCACAGAAGGCAAAAGCAGCTTCTCTGCTGACTCTCTAAAGGACGTAGTTCAGTTTCATCATACTGCTCATCACCATTGAAATAAATTCAGTTTAACCAAATAAGAAACAGCAAAGGTTGAAAAAATTCTGGTGATAATAGAATACATTAGCCTTTAGTTTTCAGAAAAAAAAGAATACAAGAAGAAACGATTGCTTTATTGTTCTAAAGAATAATTTTAAGAATCATCATTTGAGACCAGAAACATGTTTTCCAGCTTAACGAAGGTCTTTAAGAAAAAATAACTGAATTCTACTTTGTCATATGTTTTGTTAAATACATCTAATAAGATTATCTAAGCTACTCGAGCCAAATGCATGCCCTTTCATAATGATCCATACTTATAAATCATACATACGAAATTTAGACAACTTAAAACTCAGGGAAGTGTTCAGCTTTGACAATTTTTTTTCTTTTTTCTTCAGTCATGCTGTGAGCATGTTTCCACTTCAAAGGATATCAAATTGCCAAATCATTGGATTACATTGTTTTCAAAATATTTATTTAAGAAAATGAGAATCAGCCTTTCTGAGAAGTTCTTTTCTTTTCAGGCTACTGACCTGCCCCTTTTTAACAAGATCAGATTTGTTTTTTTTCACAAGTTGCTTTTCAGGTTTTGTGGCCCCTGCTCCAACTTGTTCGGACATCTTGCAAAAAAGCGAGCAGACATTTTGGAAGGATAATCAACCATTTTAATTCTAACATTTTTCATGCTGTTTTTTTTTTTTTAACCAAATTTACCTGCAGAAACTGCGCAAACTCTGCATAGCTGAGGTTCCTGTTTCTTTTGTGACCAAAGTGCAGCTTGATGAAATCACAGTCCCAGTTGAAGGGAATGTGGTGATGAACTGTGGTCTGGCTGAAGATGTCACGAACATTCTCTGCAAGAGTGAGTCATGAGTGAGTGTTACAAACAACGGAGAAAGAGGCACAAGAGAGGCAGTCCACCTCACCAGCTCCTTCAATTTCAAGACAAGCAGATTTAAGAGGAGGAAGGAGACAGTTTAGACGGGGAAAGTGATAACGTCATGGTGCCGGATTCTAATGACATTTTTGAGAGTTGTAAACTCTTTCTGGGGATTTTAATGTAGCAGCTTTGGTCGAATTCCAGTCACCTAGAATACAATATCTGATTTCCTCTATCTGTCCTGCTCTTAGCTGTGACTTCAAAAGAATAATCAGCATCTTTTATTTAAGACGCCTTAAGTGAGATTAGAGTGTAATTAATTTATAACTAACTATAATTAATTTATTCCAAACAAGTAAACAAATACAAAGCATCAGACCAGTAACTCCAGAGTTTTTATAGCAACAATAGCATTTTAAAAAAAAATTGTCTGATAACTTTGATGGGAACTTTTGGGCGTTTTATGTTTGGATAAATCTTTGGCAGCAATAAAATGCTGTGATTGCAGAACTGATGATGTCTTACTAATGCTGCCATGCAACTCCTGTTCTCCTCTCCTAACTGTCAGCCCCCTGACCAGATCTCCAGGTCATACAGGGATGAAGAACAGTTGTCTCATGCAACCCAACCTCAGATTACAAAGGGATCCCTTTAGGAATACGCAATGCAAGCATACAAAACGCTTCTCCCTCATCGGTGTGTGTTTAAATGAAAAAAATAACATCCAAACACGTCAATGAAATGTATCACACATGTTGCCACTATTTTCAATGCAGAATGTTAAAACGAGATGAGTCAACCTGCTGACAGTAAGAGCACGTACCGAATGAGATGTTCCCCGTGCCAGTCTTGTCAAACAACTGAAAGGCCACTATGAAGAGGGCGTCCGGGGCGCAGAGGACCGATTCAAAGGCCATAAACTCCTGGAAAGAAATCAATCTGTTTGGACAAGAAAGAAAAGCTATCTGAACAAAAAGGTACACGTGGACTTAAACAAAACTGTGGGGGCAAAAAAAGGGGCAAAAATCATATGACCTTATGAGCCTTATTTCATGGTTGCTGAAGAGCTTTGGAGCATACCACTAATAAAACACCAGAGCTCAATCATGCTCACAATTAAAAGCAAATTGTTAAATAATTGCTTCTGGTCCACAGTGTAATTAAAGCTGTATCTATAGCTTCAGCCACAACCTGCAAGCATTAAAATGATGAATAATTCCATTTTATCACTGGGTCAGTCACTGGTGTAACACTGACTGGTTAAGAAGACTGTTTACTTGGCAAAAATAGCTGGGATCAATCTCTTCTCATGTTCAGATTAATATCCGTTCCTAAAATTCAAATATTTGACTCTGCCATTATTAATATTATTATTACCAGAGTCCTGGGCCAAACTTAAATATTTGAATACCAAACACACATAATACTATCTTATCAATGGCAGTAATTCAGTTCTGGAATACAAATAGAGCAACAAATTTACTGGTATTTGTGATATTGTTAAGGAAAAGATGAATATATCAACAGATGATACATACAAACAATAACAGATCTGGGTTTAACACAAAGAATATTACTATGAAGGGGATTCAGTTGAGTTCGGGAACCAAAATGCAGGATACAGAGAGTAGTTTTTATTCATTCAAAAAATAAAGCTTTAATTAAGCTGCTGCATAATAAAGATCAAGTTGAAAAAGAAAAAAAAACACTGGGATCAGACTGAAGCGGGGATCAGTCAACAAAAGCACCAAAGATACAAAAGAGAAATGATGCACAATCCAGCATGACGCAGGAAACGGCGATGATAAAAACAGATGAAGAAATTAAACCAGGAGCGCCGGAGAAACGACAACCAAAAGCAGGACTTTGCATCATGAAAACACAAAGGTATGCTGGTACACTAAACACTGGGGATGAACAGCAACAGGTATACGAAAGAAGAAAAGCAGAGAGGGAAGAACACAAACTATGAAACACAAGTAAAACTTTTTTTTATTAAAAAAAGCCTGAGATCAACAATTGCACAACAATAAAACACTGTTTGTACGGCTGAATACAAACCGGTGCATTCAAGGCATTGTAGGCGACTTTATCAATGATTAATAAAAGAACATTTGCCCGTGTGCTGGAAGCAGCTGACGGCGGCCTTTCAGGCAGACTGACGCTACATACCCATCTTTAGTGGTGTCAGCCACTCCAGCTATCAGCTCCACAGTTTTGGGGTTGTGCTGCGGCTGTGTGTGCAGACCCAAGTAACTCTGCACAAAGTCCCTGGGGGTCATGTAATGCTCTCCATCCTCCAACACGCTCGCATACTACAGAGGAGATACACAATGGATAAGATATACAAAAAGCTGAAACCAAATTGAATCGAAGCGGGGGGGAAGAAACTGTTAGGTAAAAAGTATTTTGCTTCTACAGAAAAAAAGAAAATTAGCTAGTTCTTTATGGCCACCTCTTCTCTTTGTGACAATAACATATTTGTTGTTCAGCTTTTCATTCCAGCAGACTGACATCTCAGTTCACTGGCCCTACAGAGTATTTCAGCTCTATACAATTCTGTACCGCATCCCATAGTGACACACTCAGACTCTTGTTCTCATTGTTCTCCTTTCCTTTCTTTTAAGGAACACGAGCAGCATATCTCCTGAAGCCAGACACAACTGCGTGCATCTCATCCTCAGACAAAAGATGTACACAACTTTTTTTTTGTGTAAAGTTCAATATTTCACGAATCTGAAAAAAAAAAAACAGGAGCGTCCTTTCTGTACACAGAAAACAGCCACAGCCAGTGATTTAAAAAGAGGGAAGATGACAGCGTAACTGCTTTAAATCACTGCTGTTCCATTATATACTGTACAGAATCATACCACCTATACTTGATCTGCGTTGATAACGCACAAAGACTGCGGTGCAAATAACCTTTAAGCCTCTGATTGTGAAGGGGCTTCTTGCCACTTGACTGAGGCAGAACCTGATCTCGGTCAGGCTTTAAGATGTACGGTCATTTATAGAACCTGGATTGGGTTTCACGTTGGAACCGAGATAGCACCGGGAGCGCAAGCACTGCAGGAACTGGCATCAGAAAGGCCACATTCATATCTCTGAGCCAAGCTCAGGCAGAGAGACCAAGGCTGTGGGAGGAGACCTTCCCCCTGGCCAAGTGTTTTCAGGGCCACAGCTCAACACACTCAGCTGAATTAACATGCTAAATGAAAAATATCAACTTCTCCCTCGCCATTGTGTGTTCATTCACCCCTCACAGTGGGCCTCAAGTAGTTCTTAATCAAATTACACAGGCAGTCAGAATGAGTTGCCAGTAACTAACCATTCCACCTGAATATGCATGGCAGATTCCAGTAACCGCAGAGAGGAGACACACCCAGGGCCGTAGCAGGGGCGCTGGCTTCTACTGGCAGGAAAAAGTTTACACTCCAAACAAGATGCGCATCGGATAAACAAACTTGCAAACATTTTCCAGGAAATTGTTTTTTCTTTAGAGGGCAGTGGATGGAGGCTGACATTCTTTAATATGAACATTGTTTTCTCAGAGTAGATCTCTGTTGAAGCAGATCCAAAATTAGGCAAAGCGTCTGTGTGACCTTAGATGAAAGACTTAACCCACTGTCCCAGTGGGCACCACTCACACTGCCCACTGACTGCCATGCAAACAGATATTTCACAAGAACACTTCTGGATGAAATCGTTTTTCTTTTATGAAGGCCAACAAAAACTAAAGCCTTTGGTTTCTGTTTGCAAATCCTTACCTTGAGGAAAATACTCTTCAAGTCATGGGGGTCGGCTCTTTTAGTGGTTTGCACCTGTAACAGATAAGTTTAGGGTCGGTATTAGAAAAGCAAGAAAATGAAGTGTGAAAGGAGCAGGGCAACAGTAAGAAGTTAGCTGGAGTTCAGTTTTGCCACTGTTTTAGTTTGACTTGTTCGCTGTCACACGGTCACACACGGTAACGGTCACACACGAGCCGAACGACTACCCTCAGAGTGGCAATAAACGCCCGTTTCACACAGCAACACACACCAGCCAAGCACCGAATCTCCCGGACACATACAACCAGTTGAGCAAATAAAATACACCTGTCAGTTCGAGGCCGGGAGAGATGCGCCTATGTCTGGATGCAGAGACCGAATAAAACGGGACTCCGCTCAGTTTAGAGCGGGAGTCACGCGCCCGCGCACGCGAGCTGTCCTCCGCATCCGACAGCGCAAAGCTCACGGCCGCTTACCTGCCTTTAAAATTCATATCTGATAAGAATTATTGACAGAGTCACCTTGACCGCCATGCTGGATGTGACGTCAGCAGCAGTAGACTAGCGCACGCGCTGGGCTCCGGGATGACAGCGCGCGGGCATGACAGGAGAGAAGAGGTCTGAGACACTGAGCTATATTTATCCGCAGTATTGTCCTTTTCTGTGTTCAGGGCGGCGTGATAGACGATGAGCTGCTGAGCTGACAGATTTTTTTTTGCTGCGTTTCCTGTCTGATCGGGTCTCGTGAAGACACACCTCGTGACGCTGCAGCGTGCAGATTAAAAAAAAAAAAATCTGGTACACCGGAGACAATTAACAGCAAGATATGAGTCCGAACCTTAAATGAGTGAGTGAAGTCGTATGGATAGAAAATATAGGAATACAGTCAGTGTGTCCGAAAATACAGAAGAATGTCCAAAGGATTTGCACATATAGCCCAAACAGGCACAGGCATGATGAATGCTGAGTTGATTTGATATGACCTGTCTTCTGTCACCTTCGCAAGCACCAGTATTTTAACGTGTTATGGAGTTATTTAGTTAGTTATTGTCGTACTTAGCCTTTATCAGCCTTTTTTTTTTTTTTATTATATCGCATTACTTATCTTGCTATACCGTACCCTCGGACTATATCACCCATCCAGAGACAGGCTCAAATTTTGAAACTCGGCAGAATGATAGGTAGGTTCTGCTCGGGCTGCTGGAGTTGACCAATCAGAGCTGACGTTGAAGCGAGCCTCTCCTTAGCGGCTGTTTTATCAGAATTGCACAAAGTTGTTGAATTTGCCTTTTGGAAGTTGGTGGAATCAAGTGGAAACTATCAGCCTTAAGTAATACCTTGTCCCATCTGGGTATCAAATTAGCTCATTGTTGTGGTAATTGAGAAATCTAGCTTGGGCAAGTTGACACCAGCTTGTAAACTGACTTATTCAGTCTGTAGGCTGCATGTGTTTTCATGCAGAAAAGAACAAAAATAATGCTTCATTACTGATCTAAAATAGTGCCAAAACCAGCATCTAACCGTTGATTTGAAACAACTCCAAACTGGGCTGTCTCAGTCTTACCGAGCAATTATCAACAACAAGCTCAAAGCAAGCTGTTTAATTTTCATTATGTTGTTCTTTTTGTTTCTTTTACAGAACCTGACCCAGAATATGTTGTTTGGTCAGTGGTAATTAACAGTGGACTCCTAAGGTTTGCTTATTATGTTAATCTGAACGCAGGTCCTTGGAAGTAGATTGTAGGTAAATTCTAGGGTGTCTTTCCATCGAAAGCAAAGGCTAGAATCTTACTTTAAATCTTGCTGGGGAGAACAAATGAGCATGTTACACACACATAATAAGTATTACATTTTATAAGAGATACTTGAATGTGTTTTAAATTCAGTGTAGTTTGGTGTGTTTCTGTCTCTTTAACAGCGTAATGTCATAATTCTGTGCAAAAATAAGTGAGAAATTTAGTATTTCTAACAAAAAAACTGTCTTTGTTTTCTCAAGGTCATTGATTTGTTGCTTTAATATCTGACCTCACATTAAAATTTAAGTGCAGGAACTCAGGTCTTTGATGAGTTGCATGAGTGTGTGGTACTGAGAGCAGAAATCCCCTCTGGTTTATGTATAGACAACATTTGATATCTCTAGAGCATATAAATTAACCCATATTTTGTGGCAATAGAAATGTTGTTTATTTTGGAATGCATAATAATATTATTAGTGTACAAATTTTGTTAGACAAAATACTTTCCTGATGCATTCTTCTCCATTTATTGTGGTTTGGGAGTTGTAGAGTGCATTCTTTTGTTTTCATTTCTTGCTGGATTATAGATAAATTATTTAATGAGTACCTACCTGGGCTAAATAGATTTGGACAAGAAGATAAGCACTACTGTTCCTAATGCACTTTCCAGAGGCCACTCAGTTGGATTTAGGAGAAATTCACAAGTTTAACACTACTCCCACTCTTCATTGTTGAATCCACTAAAAGAATGTTGAACAGCTATAATTTATAGTTCAGAGATCAAACAACTTGAATCGCTCCCATGCAGACACACATTGCTGCCTAAGGATTGTAAGATGTATGCTTTCCTTGAAAAGAGAGATAGTGTTGATATAGTGTCGATAGACAAAAAGAGGTAAAAATTACATTGTCTTAAGAGATGACTGTGCAGGTCATTCACTGGGGCTCCTGGAGGTCAGAACACCTGACATAAGATAATAGCACACCATTAGCTATCTTAGAGGGATAGCAAGAATTCCCACTCATGCAACACTGGCAAATTTCTCCTAATTTTGTTAATTTATTTTGTTTACTTTTGTCATTATTGTTGTCTATTTTATCAGATTTCCTTGGTCAAACAGACAAATTGTAATTGGAGTGTACTTCCACTTTGAATGTATTGTTTATTCTGTTGTCAATGCCAGTTTTCCTGAATGAGATAGGTTCAGGTTTTGGAAGGGAACGGGAGGGGTTTTGTCATTTTGTTGTTACATTTCAAATCTTAAGAAACATGCGTAGAAAATCATCAAATGTCCAATTTTGTATAAATGGTCCTTTAGTATGACTATTTACTTAAATGTTGTACTCGTTACTTTTGTCCTTATAATAAAGAAAATATCACACTCAGGATGAACAAACCTAATTTTATAAGATTGAAATATTTAGATTGATTGTTTTTTATTTTTAGATGAAAAATGCAGCTCTACCTTAAAATGAAAGTTTCTGACTCTTTATTTTGGAACAGGAAATTCTGCAAATTTGAATAAAACATAAGTTGATATTAGAACAGAATCTCCAGTTGCCATTAGGATTTTATTAACATTTTTATTGGATCCAGAAAGTGGGACTTTTTACTGGTAAAAAGAGAATTAAATAATTTCTTACTACAATAATTTTGAAATTGCCCTCAGGATTTTTTGCCTCAAAACTGACATACTCAGTACTCTCTGAAATATAATACCAACCCATTTCTTAAAAAAAGGAAAAAAAGGACAAATCGACCAACCCCTTGGTACATTCTTGTGAAACATTTGTGGACCTTTTCACTCTGAAAAGCTCCTGTAAACGTAAGCATTTGATATATTACACTTCACTAACTTTTATAATAATCTATCTTTTATCCAATATTTTGGTTTGATGGACATCCCATAGTTATTCTTCTTTAACTGAATATTAATATAATATAATTCAACAGTGAAGCTAAAAACACCCCATCCCTTTTACCGGAAATACGTTGAACCGGAAGGACTTGTGTTTCCGCGGGTCTTTTGGGACAACAACACAACTACACGGTGTGCAGAAATGGCGGGTAAGAGGCCGAATGTCTTATTTCCTCAGTTACTCTTTTTTCGTTTGAACACATGTTCATTTAGGTATGCGCGTCAGGGCTGCTTTTATCCTAGTTGATTGCAAAACGTCTCTGGAAATCGGCGTGTTAAGCTAGCTAACGTTGCATTGCAAACAGAGAGGAGGGCCTGTGTGCTAACGCTTGAAGCATGCTGGCAGTGGCAGCCAGTGTTTTTGTGTGTTTATGTAATGTGAATGTCTCAGTATACGTGCGTTGTGGGTCATTTGAGGTTTTAAAGCGTGTCCACTGCATCGTTTGAATGCATTGTTGCCCACACTGTGCTAACATCTCACCTGCACACAGTTTTCCCTTGTCAGAAATCCATTTGCAGTGGGTAAAGCTCAGCGTGAACTGTAACAAGGTGCACGCTATTCTTCAAAATATTACTAAAGGCTTGAGTGTACACAGAGGATGTCACAGCTAGTTAGTAAGCTGGATTGAGTGAGATAGTTTTTGTGCTGTTTCTTTTGACTTTCACATGACTGGTAGTAGATTTAGTTAGTCACAATTGGCATAAATAGTGAGTTTATATTGGTCTTTCTTCGCTGACCCTAACACTTTGCTTATCAGCTGTTAATTATACATGGAATGGTTTCAATACCAAAGGCCAGTCTCTTGATTTTCACAAAGGGGGCTGAATTGTGCATGCAATTTATGATTTGAATAAGATAAATAATGCAGCAATAAATTGCTTTAGTGGCTCTCATTTATATTTTCTGTAAAAATGCTTCTTAAGAAATTAAAATGAATTAAATTCTAGATCAAAATGATTTTTTCTATAATGTAACAAAACCCCCTTACATGCTATGTTTTAAACGATCAAGAGCACAATTAAAAGATGTTCATTTCAGATGACTCAGATTCAGTGAGGAGTGAAAAAAAGCTACAAAAACATATTAGAACAATAAATGAACAAATGAACGGATCTTGTTATTGGGGTATTTGTGTTTTAAAACAGTTCAAACAATAATTTGATTATTGAGTCAACACTGTTTTTAATCGCATTCAAAATACTGAAGTAGAAACTAGTTCCTTAGCAGTGGTACAGAAGAAATATAAGGCAAACTTAACTACTAATTTATTCATTGTTTTACCCTTGCTTCCACAGATGTAAATGTCATGGAAAAGAAGCTGGCTGAATATAAGTGTGATACCAACGAAGCTATCTGCCTGAAGCTGGGTTGGTGTTGTTTTCTTAGTTACTAATTTTCGATCATTTTAATTTTGTTTTTACTGTATCCTTAATTCTCACTATAAGTAACTGGTCTTCTCTCGCTGTCTCTTACAGTTCGTGATCCCGAGGACATTGATGATGATGGGACCACATTTCATCCAGAATACAGCCACCAAATATTTGGAGATGAGTGAGTATTTTTCTTTATGGACATGACATATGTTATGTTACGGAAACTCTGAGAGAAATATTTCCCGCTGCTTCACTTTTCATCCATTAGAAATATTCCATCTGTCAGAAAGATTGTTGGACAACCTTTTTTGGTCAGAATCATTATCTGAAACACACCTTTCCCTGCTGATTTAAACAAACTCATTCACTCACATGATTAGTTGTGCACATGTCAGCTTGCCTCTTTTTTCAAAGCCCAACTCACTAAACACGTCTTGCTTATTTTAAGATGATCGCCAGATCCAATGATTGTTACACAAATTGAAATGGGACCAGCAGTGCAGACTCGCATTTCTCCTAAACAAACATTACCTTTCCACGAATAAGATCAACAAAAAGAGGGAAAATGGGGCTTTAGGAAATCCAAGCTCAGGTTGCTCGTCAATCAAAGAGGTGACACATCAGCAGAAATAGAAGACGGCTCAAACCAAGTTACGGCATCACACAGTGGGTCCCTGGAGGAAACTTGCACTGGAAAAAGAACAACATGGCCACTCCCCCAGCCGGCGGCGCTCAAAAAAGACCTAAAGAATTGTGATGATGCTGAGAAGCTGCTGCACCAATAGCTACACTCACGTTTTTGGTTTGAAAGTGCAGGAAACGTTACTGAATGTCAGAGGTGTTGATGGGTATATTTGGTTTGAGTTGAGTTAGTCTTTTTGCTGATAACTGTAATGATCAATCTTAACCAACAGGCACATTTCCCAAAATATCGAAATCTTCCTTTTAAAGAGAGTTTGCAGTCTTTTCACTTTTGCAGTGTTTTGCCAGAACTCAGGGATTGTTCTTCACCATGTATCATCATGTATGAACAGATTTGACCACTTTTTCAGTTGACTGAGGGTGTAATTAGTTTGACTTCTCATAGTCTAAATTTCAAATCTTTGAAAAAAACTGCCTGCAGATCTGTGTTTGGTTTTGGACGCTTTGTGTAACTCTCTGTCATGGCCACAACCGGATGAAACAAACAATACAGACTCTTACATATGAACACAATAGCTTCTGTGGCATCACAGGACATTTGATAGGAGCTGCATTTGTGTTGATAAAAGGAGGCATTGAACCTGAGCATTGCTCTGTTATTGGCAGTGACACCTGTATCTGTGTGTGGACTTCCACTGGCATGTCGTTATGCTCTAAATTGCACTTCCAAATTAGTCAAAACTAGGATTAGTCATTTTTGCGCCCGCTGCAATCAGCTCAAAGGGAACTCTGTAATTGGGGTATTAATTATTGCAGCTAGTGCTAATTGCTGGTAAACCTTAATCACACAGTTGCATAATGATGAATCTATTTTGTCGTTTAGTGTTTGGGATATAATGATGAAAGAAACAATACAGCACAGTGAAATAAGCCACAAGAGTAAACATTTATTATTCTCTCCAGGTGCATATTTAACCATATTTTTGTAAATGGGAGAAAAACATGCTTGTCATTGTCCCTTTGACGCGAGTTTAACTTCCGCCGCCCACTACAGACTTCATTTTATGTTGAGAAGTTAATGGGGGAGTTGGAAACTTTCTTGGGTTGAGGTTATCTTTAAACACCTTTTTTTCCCCAACTGTTTTCTTTTCCTGCAGTGAAGTTGCGTTTGGATACAAAGGTCTTCAGATCCAGCTGTTCTACACCCCAGGAAACCTAAGCACCCTCTTCAAAGTGAAATATTCCTCAAAAGTCACTGAGACCTTCGATTGTGTGGAGGTGAGATCTGCCTTTTTACGCTCCTAAATCCTAACAGCCTCAACAAAACTGTGTGAAGTTGTTTTTCTTATACTACTTGTCGCCTCCATTATGATGACACTTGGCTGAGCATAAGCTGATCTGAAAACTGAACAACTTAGTTGTTTGATGATGACATAAGCACAAGAGGTAAGGTCAGGTTGTTTCCATCACAATTTATTACCACCTCATTGTGTGTTTGGTCGTTGCATGAAGGCGGCTTGAAAGTTCTGAAATGTGCTCATTCCATCGCTTTTTAAAATTGTCGGTGCTCTTATGAAGGAGTCAATTGTGTGGCCCATCCATGGATGCCGCTCTCTGGCCAATCAGTGGCCTGCCAATGTGTTTTTGGCTTGACTCAGCTGGTTTGGAATCCTGGCCAAGTAGGTGCTCAAATTTTCAGTCACCAGGTGCTGCGACCTAGAGGAAAACCCCAAAAATGTTAACTATCTGATATTTCTATGGACTAAAAAAATAAGAAGTACACTCCTGAACTGGTTCCTTTGCTGCGTGTCAAGCCCCACTGTCTCTTTTCCTGTTGCCTGTGGAATAAAGGCCACTAGGGTCTGAAAAACCTTTAACAATATATCCCAAAAAGCTAACTCAAGCTTCAGTGTTACCTCTGTATGTTAGAAGTTATGCATTTCCTGGTGAAAATCTGCTGTAAAACCTTTGTTCAAACTTTGAAAAGGTGATGGGCGGAAGACGTTGCTGTTTGTTTAAACGGGCTGAATTTGAATTTTGGCAAACAATAGTAAATGTTGGCCTACGTGAACATAATCGTCTCAAATAATTAAAAAGCCTCCACCAATTAGCAGTGTGTTCAGTTCACTCAGATCCTGTCTTCATCAGGGCCGTGAAATGGACATTTTGGAGGCTAATGTTTGTTGTGATGTTCAGCTGTGTGGGCACCTATGGTGCTTCAATAAGATTTGCACGTTTGTTTGTTTAGAATACCTCCAGCTCGGCTCAGTATCGCTGTGCTCTGGAGATTCTGTATTTGATTATTTTAGGGAAACTTGTCTTATAATGCAGCAATGTTTGAATTGAAGGGAAATTGTGCATTTCTGAACCATGTTAAAAATTTGTCTGAAATGAACCTTAACATCAGCCAAAAAAAACTGAACTTTTGGCTTATCCACTCTTTGTTGTGGATGCCACGATTCCAGTAAAAGATGTGCTCTGTTAGACTAAACAGCACAGTCCCCTGTGCCAGCACACCTTTCCTGCTTCTCCCTGTCAGAGGAGAATGGTTTTGTTTATGAGGTCTATGATGAGACATTGATTTTTTTTTGTATATTTTTTTCTCCCCTCTTTTCATTCCTTGTCTTCCTTTTATTTTTTTTTCCTTGAGGTTTGTGAGACTGAATCAGCAGGGGGAGTAATGTGGCCCGGTTGGATTTCCTCATACATACAGAAGTGCATTTGTTTGTGTATTTCTGTTCAATCTAAAGATGTTATTATAAAAAAATTGCGGCAGTTAATAAATATAATATATCGTTTCAGTTCAAATCGATGTTTATCAGGGACTAGCTCTGCTTTAAGTAAAACTTTATCAAATCAGTCATTTGCATATCAACAGCTAGTATGTGGACAAAGGCTGATGTCAAAGTGGAATGTTTGTCCTGCTTTTTCAGACTCCACTACAGGCTGCCAATACTGCCAACACGCCAGACTATGCAATTCACCCCAAATGAGGTCAGATGATTGAATTATGGGACATCTGTCCTGCTGACGTGGGCTGGTTTTAGCAAGAGTACCGATTCTGAACAAATCAGGATTTAGTCACCAGTTTGTAACTTTATATAAAGAAATGAGCAACACTGCAGCCAGCTCCACTAAAAAGCAGTACATAAATAAATAAGCAGAGCCAATCCAACTTTTTTTTTTTTTTTTTTTGACGGTTTGAAGCAGATATTCTAACTAAAATGTGATGGAGGGGTGCGCCTCAGCTAAGAGTCGGCGTTGACCTGTGAGTGTTGGATCACCTTGTTAAGGGTTTAAGTGCAGCTGGCGTGGAGGCAGAGAGCGAGGGGAGCAGCAGAGTTCAGGCTGCATCTGAAGAGTGTTTGTCTCTGAGAGCGTGTGGATGGCTGGGGTGCGGTGCAGCTGGCGAGGGCAGGCAGAGATGGAGTTGATGCAGCTGTCACATTGATACAAGAGTCTGATCAAAACTCACCTTGTCCCCTTTGAATCAGCCAAAAACACCGTACTGCTGGACGCCTCCCAGAACACTCCTGATCTGGGCTTTTTCCACGCAGCCCGAGAATGGGACCAAAATAAAATGGTTCAGGAAAAAAGGGTTTATGTTATATTCACGGTCCTGTACGCAGTTAAATTCAAACCTTAATTACAAGCAGCAGAGTTGATGCAAGTATCGTATCGTTGTGGAGTGGACGTCAGAGTAGATTAAATAGATGAAATAAAACCAATGAAACAAATTAGATAGTTTGTCCTCCCTTTGTGCTTATTGTTAGAAATCAAAGACATTAACAAACGGCTATAAAGGAACATTGTTAAGTCATATTCACGCCAAACCAAGGCATCTATTCTGGAGGGCTGTGCAATTTAGTGTCTAGTATGTAGAAGAGTGCCCGGGACAAAGCAACTTGTTTGTCCATGGTCTTTCAAGTGTGGTCCTTGTTCCCAAGAAATGTGGCTGAACAACTACAATGGATAAGAGGCATTCAGCTGCAGGTGCATTACTTCCAGTTAGATATTAGCTGATGTCTGAAAGGGGGGAATTAGCAGTATGTTGTATTAGCCTTTTGTAGTGCATTTTGCTCAGACCTTCTTCATTTCCCAGTTTTTAATGCAGAGCAGCAAGGGTCTCTGTGCCACAATAATGCCCATCACACATGTAAATGGTGTGAAAGGGCCGCTTAGCAAAGTGTTCTCATGTCAATCCTTGTGGAAATGGATACAATGCAAACATTACAGCTGAACTAACCACACGTTGCACTGAGTAAAAAGTCCAAGGCTAGGGCCCCTTTGTCTCTGGGGCTCTTTGAAAACGCGGGGGCAAATTCATTTGATTGGGTTCACTTGGCAGGATTAGAGGAGAGGTCTCTATTATGGATGCCCAAAGGTTTGTTAAGTTGAGATCAATTCATAAGATTTTATTTCCCAGTGAGAAGCAGAAATGCGTTTTATTGTGGCCACTTCATCACATATTCATGGTTTAACATAAGCAGTAAATGTACTGATTTAAGTGGCCGTCACCGGGAAGGAGGGGGTGGGGTGTGGGTGGCCTCTGCTCAGCTGACAGTTTTAATTGCCTAATGGTTTTCTTTTCATCTGAGCTAAAAATGGGTGATTACAGACTTTATATGGCAGTCTTTTCTCTGCGAGAATAAAGAAAAGCACACAGTAAAACATTGGAAATCCACCAAACATTTTTCACCCCGCTGACCGGCCTGTTTAATTACCGATCCGGCTCTCATTGTGTCGATGCAGCCCGACGACGTCGAGGGGAAGATCCGCGAAATAATCCCCGCCGGATTCACCGCCAACACTGATGACTTCGTCTCGCTGCTGGAGAAAGAGGCCAACTTCAAGCCCTTCGGCGCCCTACTTCACTCGTACACAGTCCACAACGAGGAGGCAGGAGAGCTCACCTACCAGATCCACAAGGTGCAATCATCATTTACCACCTTCGGCTCTGGTCTCGACCGTTTGGCGGGGGCTGCTGTTTCACCTGGCGTGATGGGGAGCAGACTGAAATCTCGACAGTTAGTTTCCTCTGCGTTTGCCCCAGGCGGATATCACCTGCCCGGGATTCCAAGAGTACCACGAGCGCCTGCAGACCTTCCTCATGTGGTTCATCGAGACCGCCAGCTACATCGACGCCGACGATGATCGTTGGGACTTCTTTCTTGTGTGAGTGCCCTTCTTAATTGACACCAAGCCCCTCAGCCCCCAACTCCCCCTCAGTGTTACCCTAAAGCCTTTATTGTGTCATTGAAAAACAAAGCCCCCCTTTGAGGCGCTTGTGACCAATTACCAAGCCAGTTTGATTATATTTCCCCCTGTAGGAGAATTGTTGATCAGGCAAGAGCTTCCTTTGTGCCGAAAGCCCTTTTCAGATTTTTCAGGGGCAAGAGCTGAATTGAATACTGTTGTCTTTTGAAACACTGAACAATGTCTTAACAGTAAAAAGAGCCTCTGCCAGTGTTTTCTTTACCCTGGCACCTATTAATGGTGACAATGGGGAAAATGGACTGAAGTGATTTTGAGGAGCTCAAACCCTCCTCCAACCCCTTCTCCTCCTCTAAGTTGCAGTACTCCAATTAAGTGCATAATGTATTCAGGTTGTAGCAGGTGTACCAATCGGACCCTGGCTGCTCTAACATGCTGATGTTGAGGAGAAGGGGAGGGGGCTGGTTAGGGGTGGGCATGTGAACAGAGGGGCTAAAATGGACACTGCATGGGAGTGTGCCTGTAATTGACCTGTTTGCCTTTGTGTTTTATCTGCAGATTTGAAAAGTACAATAAAGATGGGGAGACTCTCTACGCCACTGTTGGCTACATGACAGTTTATAATTACTACGTATACCCAGACAAAACCCGACCACGTGTAAGGTAATTGCTGGGGCAGCACGTGCCTTCCCATTCTTTTGTATTGAAAAGGAGTGGGAAATTATACATTTCTTTATCCTCTTCCCAAAAAGCCTAAATTACTGGCTTATATGGCTCACCATTCAACTAGATTTTGTTTCAGGACCAAGCTGAGGTGATTTGTATCTGAAAACAATTTTATAGATAAGCTTTTGATGTGATTGGATTTGTTGCCTTGATGGATCATTGTAACAGTCTATTATTTCCTGCTTTCAGCCACAAAGTTTCTATTCTCATCCAGTTAAACAGCAGAAACACCACCTATATGTGTTTGTTAGAGCCTTTTGAGCAAGCTGGGCTTTGATTTGTGTGTCTGTCTGTCCTTTAATCAAACAGCCAAATGCTGATCCTGCCTCCGTTCCAAGGTGAGGGTCATGGAGCTCAGCTCCTGGAGGCCGTGCACAGATTTTACTGCAGTCTGCCCAAAGTGCAAGACATCACCGGTGAGCATCTGCTACGTTTCCTTTTCTCTATGGAAGAGCACAGGATAAACATTTCATCTGAATCCGGACATCAACCGTGAGCAGTTTAAATGATTTTTCTTCCTGCTGCTGGTTGGTGCAGACGGTGAGATAATCTGCAGGGCTGTTTTGTATACCGGAACGTCTTTGATTGAAAGTTGTTGGATAGAAAAGGATTCATTGCACGGAGATGGAGGATGAATACTAAAAAGGGTTTCCAGCGTTTTCCTTTCACAGGGAAAGTCTTTTCATAAAGAACTTCAAGATCAAGCTTTGAATAAACAAAAAGTCTCTGCTAACGGTTTCAGGGCTAAAGCTCTCAACGGTTTTCGTTTGTAGTTTATATCGTAGCTAACGTCTTAGCAAAGAACCTTCGGATGCTTTTATTCCATCCTCTCCTTCCATAATACAGCTAATGCACCGATAACCTGTAGAGCACCAGTGTCCCTGAGCTCATCTTTTATTTGCTCTGGTAAAGAGAGTGAATGTCCTCCCATTCAAACTGATGTTTCTGGGCCTTCTCAGGCCAATCGATCGCCACTTTTCTCAATATTGGTTGGATTTGAAGCTATAAGACTGCAAAGAGCTCTTTACTGCCAATATTGTTCTTAATTGATCTGGTTGAAGCCGCTTTTAATGATTCCAATAATTTAAAGTAAACAAAGAGGTTCACATTTGTGCATGGCAGTGTGTGTCCAGTAACATAAGAGTCCATTTGTTGGGTTTTTAGGTTATAGACGGTCTTAAACACAGCTTATGCAGCAAAAAGTAAACAAATTGAGACGGATAAATCGTTCAGCTCAATTATTCTTTTTAATGCAGTCGTCAATCAAAGTGTCCTGATTGTTGCAATACCAGACCAGCGCCATGCAAATCAGTTGTCAAAACGTGGAAGTCGGCATTGTTAACTTGTTTGAATTGATTTCGGCTGTCTGTTTGCAGCCGAGGACCCGTCTGAGAACTATGTGAAGCTGAGGGATTACGTTCTGGTGAAGCTCTGCCATGCTCTGCCATCCTTTGCCGCAGACAAGCTGGCCCTCGGGTTCTCCGCCGACATGGTGCAAGAGGCGCGAGACAAGCTGAAAATTAACAAGGTGCTGCAGATGTGGTAACAGCTGCCACTGTCAGGTGTCAGAAATAATGGGAGCTGTCAATCAGTTGTTTTTAGTAAACCCAAGATGACTTATGAGCAGCAGTCAAATCCTCTAAATGACAATAACAATGTGAGGAATTACAGGAAAAGGCAGAAAATTGTTGTGTTTAAAGAGCTGATGAATGATGATTGAGATGTCAAAGCTGTTCACTGAGCTGTACGTGCTTAATAATTAAGGCTAAATCCAACTACAAAGTGTCTCCATGTAGATGCCTTTTTTTATTTAGCATTTTTTCTTTGATACTTGTACCTAAGAGCATCCAGTTATTTTCACTCACTTTCAAGACCGTTTCCAAGGGGTCTCCTGTAGTCAGTATGCACCAGTCTCTGTAACGTCCCCCTTGAGACATAATGGTATATTTTCAAGTTGGCAAATGTTTTTTCTTGTCTTTGTCCACAGAAACATGCGAGGCGAGTGTATGAAATCTTGCGTCTAAGAGCAACAGACATGAGCGACGAGGCAAAAGCCAGAGAGTACAGGCTGGAAGTAAAGAAGAGGCTGTTTGGACCATACAGGGTGAGGATGGATCACGATGACAGTCTGAGCGATTCACACATTTATTCAAATAAACGCGGGTGCCAGATTGTCCGTGCTGTCAAACATGAATCCAGCAAGCAGTCTTCCACCTCCTATTGGGGGGGGGGTTATACAAATGCTACACGTATGCTGTACTCTTGATCGGCATGCAGCCACGTACTGTCACTGTTTATTATGCCACCTTTTAAAACAGCAGAAAAATTGATCTTCAGTCCTGTGAAAATTGTTAGATTACCAGTGCTGTATTGTTCCAGCCACAATAGGGTGCACCAGGCGTCTGTGGTTTCGCTGGTGCCAGAGCTTTTTTCTATTCAAGCGCATGTCATTAGTCAGGATTTGCATTTCTTTGGGAGAAATCACTCCGAACATGTGTTTAAAGCACTTTGTGACAGAGCAGCAACTGGTCGCAGCTCTGCGCTCTCTGAAAGCGTTTTGCACATTTATCTCACGCCACCCCCCTCCAACCCACCCCACCCAACCCCACGTCCTGTGAGCGAGCTTCAGTGAGTTGAGAGCCTCTTCAGCAGAACAGAACCGACAGAACAGTGGGAAACGCTGAGCTTTCCCTGCATCCTGTTTTGCCGGTGACATTTTCTGTTTTAGCTGCTCGCTGAAACTTTGCATGCCATCCATTAGAGAACGCCCTGTCAGCAGGGTGACCGCACGTCACACGAAAAGGCCGAATCTGACATGGAATAGAGCTATGTGGTGAAGTGGGAAGGAAGAATTCCTTGGGAGAGTGGCAGTGAAAGATCTGGTAGCCAGATGCTTTTTTTCCCCTCCTTTCTTTCTTTTTCCTTCTTTTTCTTCCTTCCTTCCCTCGGGAGATTCAGCCTGTAGTTTGTTGAATAGCTGCCCTGCCAATGGGGGGGGGGGGGGGGATTAAAGGTTTCTGCTCTGTGCACCAATTCCCCAGTGATCAAGTCTACATGCATTTGCCTGCAAATATTTCACACGCAACACTTTGTACTGGACTCAAACTGGTGACCTGAAAATGTGCCTAAAGGTCAAGAATGGGCTCTGCGATAAAGCATGGTTTTAGGTGCGTTCTTTAAACTTAAAACCTTTCACACGTTTTGCATCTTGTTGTTTCCATGCACTGTGCAGAAAAACCAGAGGGAGCTGGCAAAGATGAGGAAGTGCCTGCGGCCGGAGGAGCTGGTGTCCCACATGGGTCAGATGGACACTCAGACACAGCACGAGGAGCTGGAGAAGAGTTATCAGGTTGTTGTGGAAGACTACAGGAAAATCATTGAGCGGCTAGCGACACATGCCTGATGTGACTGTGGCCCCCTGCTGGCCTGGAACCCACCCGCTCAGCGTACAGGCGCTCTGCTCAGCCTGTAGAACAACCCACACCTCGACGGACTTTAAGCAGCAGCCGAGAAGAGGCTGTGTTGATGTAACAAAATCAGCGGTCGAATTGAAGAGTATTACAGGTTTGTAGGAGCTGGTGATGGGCTGCCACAGAAAAGGCCTGTCTGCATGCCAGCTGATGTTGATATTAGTAGAGAGGGGGTAATAGTGAAGCTGGAGGGCGCGATTGCTGTTTATCCCACGTGTTTTATCACATTGTGCGAGATGAAATGTGTAGTTTTTTCACAGGTGTTCAAACCCTGCTTCTCCTCCATCCTAGGCGTTTTTTCAAAAGATCTTTTGTCAAAAGTTCCCGATGTGTGTTTTGAAGCACTTCGTAATGAAATTAAAAAGTGGTTTTGTATATTGTTCAAATGGGGCGGATTCTTTAGAAAAAAACAGCACAAAACAATAAAACTGAGCAACTGAGTTTGGTCTTTATCATTTAGGTTGCAAACACAAAGGCTCCTCACATAAGAGAAAACCTACTCGCCAGCAGCTTCCTGTATTAGCTCTGTGCCCCACATCAACCGTCTTAAGCTTTTAAAATGGCTTTGCTTTGCTGCCTGAGGGCTCGTATGACGTATGCCAGGATCCTGGTGATAGACCTGCACAGCAGATGCACACACAGATGGGAATTGATTCTGATTTTTGGCAGTCCCACCAGGTCATTGGCGTTCTTGAAAAAACCTTTTTTTAGAGAAGAAATAAAGCCATTGCAATGCATTTCTAGCAAGCTGCTGCACAACCCTTTTTTCTGTCCCTCAAGAAATTCATTACCTTCCCATTATTATTCTATTCATCCTGTGGTATTCAGTTGCTGCATTTAACTGCTGTTTTCAGCTTTAAGACAAAGTACTGAGCTTCTGTGTTTGTGGGGCTTCCCCCATCCTCCATCACTATTCAGACTCACGTGTGACTCCAAGGTTCTTGTCTGGGCTGTAAAACCAAAGCCTTCATTTCAAACATCCCCTGATTGAAAATTGGTTTGCAATGTACAGAACTCCCCAATAAATACGACGCATTTTCATGTATAAAATCTTCTCACAGATAACAATGGGTTCATTAAAACATTATCCAGTATGTGGATTTTTTTCCCTTTTTTTTTTTTTTTTAGGAGTGTAATTTGGTCCAGCAACACTCTTGCCGCTAATGCAACTTCTGATTGGTGCTGATGTTGAGTGTTGAGATTAATGAGTATTATGGTTTTCAATTGAAAACCCTTTGTGCGCTGTGTTGCCCCCGCTTGTGCAGATCGCTGATGAACACCCATCATACTTTATCATACTTTAGTACAGTGTCACTAAATGAAAGTTGCAGGTCAATTTTCAATTTTACCCCCTCTCCACTTGAAAAGAGACCAAACCTTGGAACTCTTCACATCACTAATTCAGACTGATTGAATGCTCTCATGGCTGCGAGGGGCCTCATTTCGCTGTAGTTTTCTCTGCACATTTTGCATTTCGCTGCAGGAGATTAGCTCAGGGACCTGCTAATGGGATATGGCATTATCGTTACCAGTTAGGATGTTGTCTCGGGGATCCTGCTGGTAGTTTATTGCTATGCAGCGTGCACCAAAGGAAAACAAACTATGAAAGGAAGGGCTTGTTAAGAGGACCTGCAGGGCCCTGTTTAGTTGTCAGCAAGTTAAAGAGTCTTTGCACCTTCAGACCACACGGTTAGGTTTATAGAAGTTTCAGTATCCCCTTACTGTCCCATGTTGAGCATCTGGAGCTGTCCTGTCCAGATGCACCTGTCTTATTTTGGTTCAAAGAAAGGTAAATATACAATTTTACTGTATTGCACAAAGCAGTAAGTAATTTACTGAAAACTGCATGTCATAATCCTACATTACCTGTGAGTTAAACAAGGAGGGACGTCTATCATTTAAAGGGACAACTTTGTTTGGGGTAAGACGCTTTGGATCAAATGAAAATGGTATAATCTGATTTTGAGAAGGCTTTTGAAATGAGGAATAGTTTTCTGTGGGAAAAGGAGTCTTTGGGATAAACAAAAGAAAAAAGGCGTGTAAGATTTGAATCTGATTCATATTTTAATGGGGATAATGAAGCTTAAACATGATTTGAAAGCATTTCAGATTGTATTTTTTTCTCGTATGTGTTGCAGCAAAGCCAGAGGTGGGTTCACAGCCTCCTTCTTACGTTGTTCCTATTTCACCTGCTTAAAAAAAGGTAGGTACACACACCGATGCTTGCATCTCCTCGCTTTTCCAAACAGTCTGTGAAGCCGTTTAATCATGCAAGTAATTGCATGTCACTCGCATTAAAGCGGGCAGAAAGGCTTAATGCCACTTCTTCTGAGGAATGACAACAGGGTCGAGGCTGACTGGAATATTTGGTTTCACCTGTTGGCATTTGCGCTACTGTTACTCCGTGGCGCCTCCACATCTCCCCTCTGAGGCACACAGGGAGTTTGGACTGTGGCCCAGCTGGACCAAGGAACCTGCTGAATTTGATACCTGTGTGGAGGAGCTCCTGCTCCTTAGCCCCCAGGTTCCCAGGAGAGAGCCAGGCAGGAAAGTTACCCCCCCCCCCCCCCCCCCGCCTACCTCCTCCCACCACCACTTCTGCTTTTCTTATCATGTATCCATTTCTTTTGTCCTCCTCAGTTACCCCCAGGCTACTGAGCCTGCCCGTCACCGTCAGTGAACCCGGCTGGTCCCTTTTCTCTGCTAAATGAGTCCTCTTTAAGATAATGTTTGATGTGTTGACAGCCAGAACCAAAACAGTGTAAAAGAAACCAAGTTTGACATCTTTTAATTGTGCGTCAGAAAGCAGAGATTGTGGTTTCTTGGACTGCTTTCAGATCACGCTGCTGATATGGTAATTTGCCCATGTGAAGGCTGTGATGAAAGTGGTCCTGTTGATAGTCTGGTAGCAGAGGTCCCTAGAGTCCGGTTGGCTGCTTCCCCTTGCCACAAACATGACTAAATTCATCAAGCTGTTCAGATATAAACAGGTTTTGTTTCAGTAAACCTTCAGAATCGGCAAGTAAAACTTCCCCGTGTTGATCTCCACACAGGTAACGTTTAAACCCCAGCTGCAAACACAGGGTTGACGAAGGCTAAATTTAGTCTTTGCGATAGCCTCTGAGGTTGCAATGAATGTGAATAATGGCTTTGCTTCAAATAAAACATGCATCATGCCAGATTTCTATTCAGATGACATGGATATAGATCAGTTGAAGCACATAAAGCTCTGGATTTTGTTATGGTGATTGACAGTCACTGAGCAGCTGCATGACAAGACTTGTTATTTTTGTCACAAGGGATGCGTCTTTGTCAAATAATCTTTCCTTTCTTTACAGCTCATTAAATACGGCCGAGCTTATTGAAAGGCTTGATTTACTACGTTGTTTATGTCCTCCTCTCTTTCTGTTGTACTAATTTAATTGACTTGAACAAATGCAAATGACCCCTGGCTTTTTAAGTCATCGTGCAACATATAATCACACTGACTGGAACCTGCTGTTGCATTTGGTTTTCATTTACTCCATGTGCAACCCCGAAAAAATATGACATTAATAAGGTCCAGCAGGAAGTTTGGATGAAAAGCTGCTGAAGACTAATTTTCAGTTTGTGTGTTTTAACTAAAAAATTTGTTGTGAGTAATTATGAGACGGAGGAAATGTTCATGTTTCAGCCTTATGCACAGCATGGAAGATTTAATTGTACCTGTGAAATAGAAAATCTGTAGGAACAGTGGGATTTATGTGGTGATTGGCAACTGAATGGCCTCCTTGACTGAGCTGCCATTTCCTTAGACTGCTGTTTCTTGTGCTTTAGGGTCAGTTTGAGTATTAATCTCTTAAATGAGCCATGCTGTGGAGTTGGATTAACATGTGCTTTGCTAGATGTAGTTTTCTAATTCAAACTGTCCCATTAGGCTGTAATTGTTGCTATCTGAGGTTGGGACCGAGTCGTATGGGAGGGAAGCGAGAAGTCAGACTGAGATGGTATCTTGGCCGAGGAGACAGGAAGCCTCTGTGTAATCATGTCAACTTGGACATCTGGGCTGAGATCAAGCCAACTGGACTGAACTCTGCCCATCTTTTGCTGTACTGTAGATTCACTGTGGAGCCTGCATTTGGACTGGGTGTTTATATTTTGGGGCACTTCGTTGAAAAGAGAGCACACTGTGAAGGATTTGATGAGTGTACACAATGAGTGGCTGGGTGGAGAAGTGTGCTGATTATTACCAAACTCGGGGAGCAAAAAAATAATGTGGACTTAGTTGGATCTCAACTACAACGGCTTAAATTGTTACTACTTTAACATTAAATGAGCAAATGTGCATAGAAATGATGTCTGAAATTTTCTTTAAAATTCAACAAATCATCTGGACTGAAAACCCTGTTTTTTGTTGGTTGAACGGTTATAATATAAGGAGTACCCATCAGAAATCTTTTACCAGGGCAAGAACCATCAGCTAATATTTATTGTCGGTAACATGAAATCAGCTTCAATAGATGGGTGTGGTCATGCTTTGGTGTAGGTAAAAACATGACCTTATCAGGAGGTTGTCAAATGTTAGAGTGAAAATACAAAGATTTATTGGCTGATTTAGTAAAGTCAAGTGCGTCAGTATTTGTGTATTGTTAGAAGAAAAAAAAGATACTCGGTTTATGTTCTCAAAAACTTAAGCATAAAATACATTATTTTCTACTATTCCTCCTTCAACTACTGGAAGCCATTATGATGTTTCACATGCAGTTACTCTCACAACACCTTGAGGTTGTCTGTTCTTTTAATGCAGTTACAGGTCAAAGGAAGAAGAAACTTTTGAAGAACACTTTTGTGACAGTCTGGGAAAGCTCTGTTTTTCGAGCTTTGCTGAAAGTGCCAGCCATTCACGTCGGCTGGCTGACTGTGTGACGGATTCTTGTTACAGTTCCAAACACCAGGCACACCCACCTGCGTCAGCATACACATGAATTCTGCCTGAAGGTCCAAATAGACAAGTGTGAGCATCACCAGCCCATAGTTCTATCAGCTCTGTCTATGGATGCAGCTGTGGCTCACATCTGCACCTATGAACACATTTATTTATGTCTCATTTTATCTTTAGTTGCCAACACAATTCTCCCCTTTTTGAGTCCTGGTCTGTGCACTAGAGTAAGACAGAGGGATTGATTTAAGTAAAGAGTTGGAGCATACCAGGTGCAGTGGCTTATTTTTCAGTCCTTATTGTGCCGCAGGAAATTTTGTGCCTCAAGAAGGCACAAGAGTGACATGGCTTTTAATGCCTCTCAACACTATTGTCTTTTTAAAAATGTTTTATGAGATAATACAGCGTTATACATGTGATAATATGGGGAACTAGTCATAATTAAATAAAAAAGTTTCTGAACTTTTCACTGCAAACAATTAGCAAGAATTTAGCAACGCCTGACACAATAACATTAAAAAGGAATGAAGCTTTAAAGTTTGAAGCGAAGAATGAATTCAAGCTGAATCATGTCATTTCTGGGGAATTTTCTTAGACATCCATAAATCTGCCAATTTGTCCTGACAATTAGGAATTGATTGCAGTCTTGATGTGTGATGAGCAATGTAGACAAAATACTGTCTCCAAGACAACTGTGAGCAGAGTCTGCTCAGAGTTGTTGGTGTTGGTTTTTGGTGGAAACTGCAGTTGAGTGTTCAAGGGAATATTTTTTAGCTCTATGCAGTCATAAATGTACCAGTTATAACATAGACATCATCTTTAATATTGTGACATCTCTCCTAGTATTCATCAGGTCTACCACATGCCCCCAGAAGAGCACTGGTGAGTCAGGAAGTGGACAGAGAGCATTTGTGGGTGTTCTGAAGTGTCAGATCCTGGAACACCAAAAGTGTATCCTGAGGAACGTGGATGGATTTTCCTTTCAAACGATGCCATCGTATGACTTCAGGTTAGTATAAGGGGAAACCATTTGAACACCTCAGAATTGTTTCAAAGTATTATCCAATTATTTTCTTTATAGAATTTTAGGTTCTCCGGGGAGAAAATTGCATTACTGTCAGATGAGCACAACTGCTCCCTTTACATAAAGGAGGTGTTAATATTATGAATGAAAA